GAGAGCGAGATTGGAAGCAGCAGCAGCGCCTCTCCCCCTGCTGGCCCAGATGGACCCCCAACTTGCCCTCCTCCTCCTCACCCGCTGTGTCAGCCGCCGAGCTTCCTTCCTGGCCAGAACCACCCCCCTAGAGGCCCTCCCTGAAGCCGAATGGTCCGCTTGGGGGGAACAACTCCTTCACACCTTCCTAGACTCGGCCCACATCATGAGGCCGAGGAGCGCCAGGGAGAGACGGAGGATTTGGCGGCAGGCGGCCCTGCCAGTGACTTTGGGAGGCCTGGGCATCACTGACCCCGCCGTTGAAGGCAGCTATGCCTACCTCGCCTCGGTGATCAGCACAGCCCACCTCTTGCACTCCCTGGAGGACTCGTTGCACCCCGCTGTCGCCGCGCTCCTCCCCCTTTTGGACCCAACCCACGGCTCCCCACACGCGCTACCTGCACGCCTCGCCGCGGCTGAGGCAGCCCTGCCCCCCGAGGCTCTCGAGGTGCTCCAGGCCGGGAAGGCTGACCCCAAGGGACTGAAGCTGCAGCAGAACCTAGCACTGGCGGTTCACACCCGCCGCTTCCTGAGAGTCATGCGCGAGGCAAGGAGGATGCGCCCCAACCCCCGCTCTGGCCATGCGCAACGGATGCAGTCGGTGCTGGGCCCAGGCGCGGGGGATTGGCTGCTGGCGATCCCGCTCACCCCCTCGCTCCGGATGGGCCCGTCCCAGCTCTCAACTGCAGCTGCCTTCCGCCTAGGCCTCCCCCTCCCAGTGCCTAGACGCTGTGACTTCCGCTACCGCACCACCTTCCCCGACGACCGCCTCCCCAACCACCTCATGCGCTGCGAGAAGGGGAAAGGGAGGACCGCAACCCACCACGCTCTGCGGGATGAGATAGCGAACATTGGGGCGGAGGCGGGGTTTACGGTTCACAAGGAGACGTATGTCTACTCACTGGTTGAAAACCTAAAGGCGGATGTCACCATCCGTCATCCCCTGACTGGTGAGGTTTGGATGTGCGACGTGACCGTGACGGACCCGGTGTCAAGGCAGGACGAGAACTGCAACCGAGCTCCTGGATGGGCGGCCAGGGCGGCAGCAGAGAAAAAGGAGGATAAGTACGCACGGCGGAACGCGTGGGTGGGGTTCCACGCGCTTGCAGTGGAAACTTATGGCTACCCCTCGCCGGGGGTGATGGCTTACCTGCGGCAGTGCGCAGAGCTGGCGGCAAAGCTGCGGTTTAACGCGGCTCCTACCTCCTACGAAGCAGCGAAGCTGCTGACGGAGTACCGCCAGCGCTGGAGCGTGTGCCTCCAGCGGGCGCAGGCCAACGCCCTCCGCACCAAGACCAACGAGGCCTTGGCGGCGGACGAGCTCGGCTTTGGAGGACCCATCATCCCTCTCAGTGAGGGACAGCTGCACCAGTTGATTGAGGCCCTGTTCGACCAGTAGGGTCGGACAGAGGGGGGGGGGCTGAGTAGGTAGGAGACTTGAGGTAGTTCGGATCTCGGTTTGGATGTTTGTTGTGCTTGTGTGTTCTGCATCTTCCTTTGTACCACCCCTCATAGTAATGCAAGGACCATTCGAGAGAGAGAGAGAGAGAGAGAGAGAGAGAGAGAGAGAGAGAGAGAGAGAGAGAGAGAGAGAGAGAGAGAGAGAGAGAGAGACGCGCCCCCCACGACGGCGTTCCTGAAGCTGCTGGCCACAGCAGCAGCTAGGAACCGGTTCACGGCCAACCCCTTGGCGAAATCGGCCAAGAAGATGGCCTGCCACTTCAGCCAGCGCTGGTCAGTGGCCCTCCAGCGCTCCCAGGCGAATGCCCTGCACACCAAGGCCAGGGCGGGGATTGAGGCAGCGCACCCCCAGATGGCAGCGGACCCATGGCCGCTGCACCTAGGGGACATCCTCCACACGCTGGAGGGTTAGAGGGCACTAAGGGGGGGGGGGGGGGGAGGGTCAGAGGGATGGGTTGATGGGTCGGAAGGTATAAGGGAACCACGAGTCAAATTGCATGTCTGTACCCCCTGCTGAATTAATACAAAGGACCATTTGAGAGAGAGAGAAGCACTCCATCACCCCGTGCACTGCCCCGTGCGCCAGCAGCGTGCAGTATATGTTGTCACTCGCATTCGCTGGAATGGTGCGGATCATGTACGTGGGGTCTGGTGGGGGAGGAGGTTGATTTTGAGGGGCCTCAAATATCGCTGGGATGGTGCGTGTCATGTATTAATTCTAGTTGCATTTAGAAGTGCGGAGGGTATGGTGGGTGGGAGCGGGAGAGAGGATAGCAGGAGGGAACCTTTTAGTGGGCACACAAGGATGGTGCAAATCATGCCATGCATGTCCGTGGGTTGCGGGGTTCCACCCATCGCACACACTCCAAAGCACATTCTCATTCAACCGCCAGCCCATCCACGCATGCACCAACACACTTCAACTAAATCTCTTTGCTCCTGATCTGTGCAGACATCAACAGCCCCACGACCATCAGCCCCGCGTTCCCCGACTCGCCACGCCCCCTAGCCCCACCACCAATACCACCCACCCACCCAGCACCGATATACTTGAGTTGGATCTCCTTGCGCTGCCCGGCGAAATGACTCTTGATCTGTGCATACAACCACAGCCCCACCTGCTCACCCACACACAACCCCACACCCATGCACACATGCCCGCACTCATGCCCACACCCATGCACACATGCCCGCACTCATGCCCACACCCATGCACACATGCCCGCACTCATGCCCACACCCATGCACACATGCCCGCACTCATGCCCACACCCATGCACACATGCCCGCACTCATGCCCACACCCATGCACACATGCCCGCACTCATGCCCACACCCATGCACACATGCCCGCACTCATGCCCGCACCCATGCACACATGCCCGCACTCATGCCCACACCCATGCACACATGCCCGCACTCATGCCCACACCCATGCACACATGCCCGCACTCATGCCCACACCCATGCACACATGCCCGCACTCATGCCCACACCCATGCACACATGCCCGCACTCATGCCCACACCCATGCACACATGCCCGCACTCATGCCCGCACCCATGCACACATGCCCGCACTCATGCCCACACCCATGCACACATGCCCGCACTCATGCCCACACCCATGCACACATGCCCGCACTCATGCCCACACCCATGCACACATGCCCGCACTCATGCCCACACCCATGCACACATGCCCGCACTCATGCCCGCACCCATGCACACATGCCCGCACTCATGCCCACACCCATGCACACATGCCCGCACTCATGCCCACACCCATGCACACATGCCCGCACTCATGCCCACACCCATGCACACATGCCCGCACTCATGCCCACACCCATGCACACATGCCCGCACTCATGCCCACACCCATGCACACATGCCCGCACTCATGCCCACACCCATGCACACATGCCCGCACTCATGCCCACACCCATGCACACATGCCCGCACTCATGCCCACACCCATGCACACATGCCCGCACTCATGCCCACACCCATGCACACATGCCCGCACTCATGCCCACACCCATGCACACATGCCCGCACTCATGCCCACACCCATGCACACATGCCCGCACTCATGCCCACACCCATGCACACATGCCCGCACTCATGCCCACACCCATGCACACATGCCCGCACTCATGCCCACACCCATGCACACATGCCCGCACTCATGCCCACACCCATGCACACATGCCCGCACTCATGCCCACACCCATGCACACATGCCCGCACTCATGCCCACACCCATGCACACATGCCCACACTCATGCCCACACCCATGCACACATCCCCGCACTCATGCCCACACCCATGCACACATGCCCGCACTCATGCCCACACCCATGCACACATGCCCGCACTCATGCCCACACCCATGCACACATGCCCGCACTCATGCCCACACCCATGCACACATGCCCGCACTCATGCCCACACCCATGCACACATGCCCGCACTCATGCCCGCACCCATGCACACATGCCCGCACTCATGCCCACACCCATGCACACATGCCCGCACTCATGCCCACACCCATGCACACATGCCCGCACTCATGCCCACACCCATGCACACATGCCCGCACTCATGCCCACACCCATGCACACATGCCCGCACTCATGCCCACACCCATGCACACATGCCCGCACTCATGCCCACACCCATGCACACATGCCCGCACTCATGCCCACACCCATGCACACATGCCCGCACTCATGCCCACACCCATGCACACATGCCCGCACTCATGCCCACACCCATGCACACATGCCCGCACTCATGCCCACACCCATGCACACATGCCCGCACTCATGCCCACACCCATGCACACATGCCCGCACTCATGCCCACACCCATGCACACATGCCCGCACTCATGCCCACACCCATGCACACATGCCCGCACTCATGCCCACACCCATGCACACATGCCCGCACTCATGCCCACACCCATGCACACATGCCCACACTCATGCCCACACCCATGCACACATCCCCGCACTCATGCCCACACCCATGCACACATGCCCGCACTCATGCCCACACCCATGCACACATGCCCGCACTCATGCCCACACCCATGCACACATGCCCGCACTCATGCCCACACCCATGCACACATGCCCGCACTCATGCCCACACCCATGCACACATGCCCGCACTCATGCCCGCACCCATGCACACATGCCCGCACTCATGCCCACACCCATGCACACATGCCCGCACTCATGCCCACACCCATGCACACATGCCCGCACTCATGCCCACACCCATGCACACATGCCCGCACTCATGCCCACACCCATGCACACATGCCCGCACTCATGCCCACACCCATGCACACATGCCCGCACTCATGCCCACACCCATGCACACATGCCCGCACTCATGCCCACACCCATGCACACATGCCCGCACTCATGCCCACACCCATGCACACATGCCCGCACTCATGCCCACACCCATGCACACATGCCCGCACTCATGCCCACACCCATGCACACATGCCCGCACTCATGCCCACCCATGCACACATGCCCGCACACATGCCCGCACTCATGCCCGCACCAATGTATTTGAGTTGAATCTCCTTGCGCTGCCGGGCAAAGTGGCTCTTGATCTGCCCCGACAGCCACAGCCCCACGTCCATCAGCTTCGCATTCCCCGACGCATCTCGCCCCATCCCTGCACCACCAGCAACGTCATCATCACTGGCGCTCATGTGGCGAGCCATGTTCTCCTGCCCCGCACCCTCCGCCACGACCAGCACGCAGTGCTCGTTCTCATACAGGCGCCGGTCAATGAAGTCAAACAGGCCTCCTGGGCCCTCCAGGTGGAAGGGCACCTCGGGGATCAGGCAGCAGTCCTGTGTGGAAGGTGGCGCGAGGGGGGGTTGAGGGGGTTGAGAGGAGGAAAGGGAAGGATGAATAACGGAGCCTCGACGATTAGGAAGAGGGGAAGGGATAGAAGGTGAGCGACCACTGAGGATACACACTCGCACGCACTCACACACGTGCACATTTACCACATCCCGGCTTGCAAGGTGGCGTGCATGGCGATCTGTCCACAGTACCGCCCCATGAGCTTCACCAGCCGTGCTGGACATGCTTGAAAGTAGTACAGGGCTAGGCCAGCAAGGACGCACGCACAAACGACGCACTCACACACACACGCACATACCACGTCCCTGCTAGCTAGACTGGTGTGCATGGCGATCTGTCTACAGTACCACCCCATGAGCTTCACCAGCCCCACGCCATTGCGAGTGCAGCGAGGAAGGACACGCACACACTTCCCCCTCCCCTCCCACACACGCACATACCACATCCCTGCTCGCAAGGGTGGCGTGCATGGCGATCTGACCGCAGTACCGCCCCATGAGCTTCACCAGCCCCACGCCGTTGCGGGTGCTCTCCGCCTCCACATGCGCTGCATATATCGCCCTCTGCGCCTCCTCCACTGCCGTGTCAAACCCGAATGACCGGTCGATTATCTGATGGAGGGGCATGTGGAAGGGTGGGAAGCGGGGAGAGAGAGCAGAAGACGGGCGTTGATGACCCTCTGTGTCTCCTCCACTGCCGTGTCGAACCCGAATGACCGGTCGAGTATCTGATGGGGCATGAAGAAGAGTGGAGGAATGAAGGTGGAGAGAGAGGAGGGATGGGGGAGGGCCGTTGCGAGTGCTCTCCGCCTCCACATGCGCCACGTGGATGGCGAATGTGATCGTGGATCGCCCTCTGCGCCTCCTCCACTGAGCTGACTTTTGAGTCAACTCAAAAGTCAGCTCGAATGTGATCATGGATCGCCCTCTGCGCCTCCTCCACTGAGCTGACTTTTGAGTCAACTCAAAAGTCAGCTCGAATGTGATCGTGGATCGCCCTCTGCGCCTCCTCCACTGCTGTGTCGAATCCGAATGACCGGTCGATCATCTGATCGGGCAATGAATAAGAGAAGAGGGATGAGGGGAGGGAAGAAAAACAAGGCTGTACTGTATGGTGAAAGAAACACTAAGAGAAAGAATACATTACAGGTACCCTGCACAGCTGCAACCTGTCAGGAATCTTCGTGACCCCCTTCTTCCCCCCTTCTTGCCCATTTCTTGCACCCTTTTTTGCCCCTATTACCCCCTTGCCCCGTTGTCCCCCTTGCCCCGTTGTCCCCCGTGCCCCCCTTTCCCCCGTGCCCCCCTTGCCCTCGTTGCCCCATTCCCCCCCTTGTCCCCGTTGTACCCCCCCCACCCTTGCCTCCTCGACCCCCTCCACCTGCGATGGTGTGGGCCTCTAGGGCGAGTGACGCGACTCACAGCGATGTCAATTTTTTAGGCGCCTCCAAAAACCCTCCACCTGCGATGGTGTGGGCCTCTAGGGCGAGAGCAGCGACTCACAGCGATGTCATTGTCAATGGTCTTAGGGATGCCTGCCACTGCCACCTTCAGGCCGCGCCGCCTCGTCTCCTGCACCACCACCATCCCAGCACAGCATTGGTGACAGGAGCGGTGGAAGCGGGGAGAGACATGAAAGACTCAGGGAGGGGTATTGCTTGGAGAAGGATGGGACAAGTGGTAGCAGTGGGGTGTCGAGCGCAGGGAAAGGAAAAGGAAAACGAACGGGCGGAGCGACAAGAGATGGACGATGGAGATTAATCGACAACGAGGTGGCTATGAAAGGGAAGTGCACTGTTGCACACATGTGCGAACTTCTGCAGCAGGATTATGAAATTCTGCTGCTTGCACATGTGTGCAACAGTGCCTTTCCCTCCCCGTCTACCCCATACTGTCCGTCTACCCCCTTACTGTCCGTCTACCCCCATACTGTCCGTCTACCCCCATACTGTCCGTCTACCCCCATACTGTCCGTCTACCCCCATACTGTCCGTCTACCCCCATACTGTCCGTCTACCCCCATACTGTCCGTCTACCCCCATACTGTCCGTCTACCCCCATACTGTCCGTCTACCCCCATACTGTCCGTCTACCCCCATACTGTCCGTCTACCCCCATACTGTCCGTCTACCCCCATACTGTCCGTCTACCCCCATACTGTCCGTCTACCAGCCCCCTGCCTGCCAGACACCCCCTGCCAGCCGGCCGCCTGCCCGTCCCCCTGCCTGCTTGCCTGCACTGCCTACCTCATAAATGAGCTCCGCCCCTCGCTGCGTGCCATCGCCTCCGATGATGAACACCTGCCATGCAATACCATGACATGCCATGCCATGCCGTGCCATGCCATGCCATGCCATGCCAAGCCATGGGTGCACAGGTGGCAGGGGTTTCGTGGATGAGTGCATGAGCATACGAGTGTAGCGTGATTTGTGCTGTCAACACATGTGTTCCCACCTCACCCAGTTGACGCCTCACCTAGATGATGCCTCACCAAGTTAACGCCCCACCTGGTCAACGCCCCACCTGGTTGATACCTCACCCAGTTAACGCCTCACCTGGTTAATTCCTCACCCAGTTAACACCTCACCAGGTTGATGCCTCACCCAGTTAACGCCCCACCTGGTTGATGCCTCACCCAGTTAACGCCTCACCAAGTTAACGCCCCACCTGGTTGATGCCTCACCAAGTTAACACCCCACCTGGTCAACGCCCCACCTGGTTGATGCCTCACCAAGTTAACGCCCCACCTGATCAACGCCTCACCTGGTCAACGCCCCACCTGGTCAACGCCCCACCTGGTCAACGCCCCACCTGGTCAACGCCCCACCTGGTCAACGCCCCACCTGGTCAACGCCCCACCTGGTTGATGCCTCTATCCTCAATCGAGTTGACAATCCGGGTGGTATCGTGCCCGCCGCGGGAAGTACCCAGGAAGGTTCCTCCGCGCTTGTGAATGTCGTTGATCACCCACGGGTTGAGCTCCATGAGGTTCCGCGAGTAGAAGCCCCGGTACCCACCCTGTGCGCGCAGTATGACAGAGGGAGGGGGGAGGGTGGAAGGAGGGTTAGTGAATACCGTTGATCACCCACGGGTTGAGAGCTCCATGAGGTTGCGTGAGTAGAAGCCACGGTAACCGCCCTGTGTGATTGATATGGAGAGGTAGGGGATGGGTTGGAGGGGACAGGGAGCAATCGGTTGGGAGGGGTAGGATGGTGTGTGCGCAGCAACGCAGTCGAGCGCCCCACAGGTTCAGTTCAGCTTGCTCAAATTGCGTGGGTAGAAGCCGCGGTACCCCCCCCCCCCCCCTGTGCGTGGAGAAGAGATAAGTGAAAGGCGGGGGGAGGGAAGGGGGGGGGCGGGAGATTGGTTGGGAGGAATAGAGCTTGTGTGCATGGTTCCGATTCCTCCAGCACCCTGTGGGTTTCGGCTTTTGAGGCGCCTCAAAAGTCCTCCAGCACCCCATGGGTTCCGCTCCACTAAAATGCCCCCGCAGGAAGAAAGCCACTGTGGCCTCCCTGTGTGCGTGCAAGTCACATGCATCATCAGGGAGTGGCAGGAGGACGAGGGTGCAAGACAAGGGAGTGAGGGGAGGAAAGGAGATAGATTGGTTGGGCAAGTACGGGAACAGTTCACTAACCCTAAGGAATGTGGCGCAGGCACGTAGACTCGTGTGCACATGCTTCCCATGTGCCTCCTACATGCTTCCATGTGCTTCCCATGTGCCTCCTACATGCTTCCATGTGCTTCCATGTGCTTCCATGTGCTTCCATGTGCTTCCATGTGCTTCCCACTTTCTCCAATGTGCTTCCCACGTGCTTCCCTGATGCTTGTGTGGCCTACCAAGGCACTCACATCGATGCCGAGAATGTGCCGTGCGCCGTACTGGAACCAGAGCCCCCACACTATCTCGCGGATCACAGTGTTGAGTCCCGGGCACAGCCCCCCGCATGTCACTATGGCTGCCCGCACCTCCCGTGGGTGGTACACCACCTGCACATCCACATGCCATGTCGTACCATGCCATGCCACATGTCATCCCATGCCATGCCACATTTCATCCCATGCCATGCCACATTTCATCCCATGCCATGTCACATTTCATCCCATGCCATGTCACATTTCATCCTATGCCATGCCACATTTCATCCCACGCCATGCCACATTTCATCCCATGTCATGTCACATTTCATCCCATGCCATCCCACATTTCATCCCATGCCATGCCACATTTCATCCCATGCCATGCCACATTCATCCCATGCCATGTCACATTTCATCCCATGCCATGCCACATTTCATCCCATGACATGCCACATTTCATCCCATGCCATGTCACATTTCATCCCATGCCATGCCACATTTCATCCCATGCCATCCCACATTTCATCCCATGCCATGCCACATGTCATCCCATGCCATGCCACATTTCATCCCATGCCATGCCACATTTCATCCCATGACATGCCACATTTCATCCCATGCCATGTCACATTTCATCCCATGCCATGCCACATTTCATCCCATGACATGCCACATTTCATCCCATGCCATGTCACATTTCATCCCATGCCATGCCACATTTCATCCCATGCCATGCCACATTTCATCCCATGCCATGCCACATTTCATCCCATGCCATGTCACATTTCATCCCATGCCATGCCACATTTCATCCCATGCCATGTCACATTTCATCCCATGCCATGTCACATTTCATCCCATGCCATGTCACATTTCATCCCATGCCATGCCACATGCCATCCACACGCCAACCACATGCCATCCATGACTTGACATGCCATGCCATTCGGCAGCATTCAAGTCGTGCGATGCGACAGTGCCACACCATGCCATGCCATGCCAAACACACAGCATAGGATAACACCCTACCCCATGCCATCCATGCCATGCCATGCCATGCCACAGCACCCTACCCCAATGCAATGCCATGCCACAGCACCCTACCCCATGCCACCGCTCACATAGAACGCCAGCATTATCAACATCACAGCCAAAACGCGTCAAACACTTTAGGAGTAACGAACGGCAGGGAATGCGGCAACAAAACGAACCACAGGAGCATGCAAGCACGCGTCCAGTACCAACCAGCTGCACCTGCACCTTCACCAGCTGCGCCTTCACCTTCACGAGCTGCACAAAAGCAGGTCTGCTTACCCTCTCCCTGGGCCCAGCTCTGCGAAAGTAGCTGATGCTGTCCAGTTCAGATAGCCGGGCTGATACCTGGGATGGGGGAGGGGTGACACAGCCGGTGAGGGAGAGGGGAGGGGTGACAGCAGGTGATGGAGGGGGGGAGTGACACAGCATGCTCTGCGAAAGTAGCTGATGCTGTCCAGTTCAGATAGCCGGGCTGATACCTGGGATGGGGGACACAGGGCGGTAAGTAGAGTGACACTTAGATATTGCAGAACTTTTGAGTCGACTCGAAGGACAGAGGGGGGTAAGTAGAGTGACACTTAGATATTGCGGAAGGAGCGGAGCGACAAGGACCATCATGGAGAGAGGAGAGTGGGGTGGGTTACGACACGGAGCAAATGAGAGAAGAGAGGGAGCTGGGCGGCTGTGCGAGGGTGGGAGAGAGGCGGGCACAGGTGCACGGGCGACCTCAGTGGCGAGTCAACAGGGCAAGTTGAGGTGGCAGAGGGGAGCACCCATAGAAGCTACAGCTCAATTAACCCCCTGACGACAGTGAGCAGCAGAGGTGCCTCACCTGCTGGCACACCATGTCGTTGGGCTCACCTGCTGGCACACCATGTCGTTGGGCTCCACAAAATACTGACTGCATGCAGAACAAGGGTGAGTGTGCGGAAGGAGGGGGGGGGGAGGAGAGGGGGGGAAGGGGGGTGTTGGTAGGCAAGGTACAGGGGCGCATGGGGAAAAAGAAGTGGTGGTTCGACTTGAGTAATAATCGGTGCACGCATTGAATGCAAAAGAAATGCTTGACTTGCGCACACGTTCGATGCTTGAATGAACAATTAGTGCTTGGATGCACAGTAAGTGCATGAGGGCGTATCTTTGGTTCGGGTCATGCACTGTTTGGGTCATCCGTGATTCTTGGAACACCAATCAGGCGCATTTCTGACAGAAAAGTCGAATACCATTGGTCCTCCCATGACCCAAAGCGTACTGATGACCCAAAGTGGCCTTATGACCCGAACCAAAGATACGCCCTGAATGCACCATCAGGGCGTGAGCGTACAATCAAAGCCTAACCGCATAATCAAAGCCTGAAATCAATCCACTGCCCTACATGTGAAATCCTAGCCCTAAACGTGAACGCAAAACAATGCTTGAGCTGCAAAAGGCACGAGCAGAGGGAGTTAAAAACGCTTACTCCAAATGGCGTATGCTGCATTGTCACTAGATTGGGTTGACCAAAAAGGCAGGAGCAGGAGGAGAGAGCAGAGCGGGTGACATGTTGATTACTCACTCAACATAGGCGTATGCTGGATTGAGTACCAGTGGATTGCTGTACGTCTGCAGTCACACACACACACACACAAACCCACGAATATATATCTGTTTGTGATCCAGCACACAATCAGTCACATTTGTTTGAAAATGCACACGTGCTGTTGGAAACAACAAAATCTGTCCAATGCACACGGCGTGAAAATTCGACAATGCGGTTACTCAAGGAGAAGCTACGGCATGGAGAGCTATTGCTCAGCTCACCAATAACAGCTCGACACTTGGCACGTGGAGGAAATGTCACGTGGCACATCTCCCCTCGACCTACCTGGAGGTCCGGAATCCACTCGGACAGATGCGGCACGTCGTCCACCTTGGACGAGCAGACCAAAGAGGGCGTGCCACGTGTCACACTTTCTCCGTCGGTCCTTTGTATGTCATCTCCACGTCTGCTCTTCCGCGATCGCAATCGCATGGACGTCGTCGTGCGACTTCCGTCGCACGGCAGTCGCTGGCCGAACAGCGACGTTCGCCGATCGCACAAAGGGTTCCGGCGATCCGCACGCGACGACGGCGACGATCGTGCACGCAAGCTGGAAGGCGAGCAGAAGCGGCGGGAAGAGAGCACCAGAGTGTTACCACCAGGCATGCGGAACGGAGAGAAGGATTGCGGACCGGATCGGGAGATGCTACGGCTGCCGCTGACGCTGGGATCGCATGAGAGAATGCTCCCTGCTAACGTGGCTCGCAAGCGACCAATGTCCGCTATTGTGTTCATGGTGGGACACGGAGGTCGCAAGGCTGAGCAGGGTGGAATGATCGAACACAGCGTTGCTAGATCGAACACAGCTGCACAGGCAATGCACGGAAGGTGCAGTGCAGCGAAGAAAGCTTGTGGTAGGATACCAAGCATTTCTTGAAGCAATGCTTGCGGTAGCTCCCCGTTTTAAAGCCCGCGTCCCAAATTGCGGGCCGCGAGAGTCAAGTTTTTAAAACTTGACGAAGTTGAGTGTCCAAGCTTTTGAAAGTCACGCACTTGCAATTTGGGACTTCCGAAGACAGATTCACTCACCAGGGGGAAAACCGAGGGTTGGCTGGGTCTCGCGAAAAAAACGAACCTAGACGAAATCGGAAACTCTCGCCAAAGCCCACACCAGAAAAACTCCCTCTGGTCAACTTTTAAAAGCATAATTTGGGCCGCCGGCTTTAATGCAACCTTGGATTCTGTCACAGCAAGAGAGCATTTGAGGATTGCACTCTCAAGGTATACAAGTCTGTATACTATTTTGTGTTAACTCATGAAACACAACACCAGTATATTCTTGCATGCATTCACATGCTATTCAATATGTTTAGATTTTGTGATTTATAATATTGAAATGCTGATTTCTGGCTCTTGCCTCTGCAAGTTTATTATTCTCTCCTCAGTGTACACATGCTGATATGGAAATGTAAGGAAATTTCCTTTTCCTTACTTCGCGTCCTCGCTCAGCGCGTACACCACTGTAGCACCACAGTCAGCACCGTTACCACTCGCAACCCTCCCATCGACAACCCTCCTGCCACCTTCGCACGTCGCACCCCGACCTCACGGCTCGGCGGGTAACCCGCGCTCCGTGCCTCCGCTTCGACATTTCCCCAAACCTCATTCCCAGGCCCGTCGCGCGACAACCACAGTTCATTACCGTTACCACTGTAGTTTCGTTATATATTCTTCGCTCATGCCTTCGCTCATTGGACTCTTGCTTCGATAGTCCAATTCTCGTTCGATCACTCAATTGCACTCGTAACACTTGGTATTCAGAGCCTACGATCTCTTCTCGGACCGCACCCACACCTTCGCTTCCTCACTATCTCAATTTTTGGGGGGGGTAGACATCCCTCAGCGACACAGCACCGCCGCTCGTAGTGCTCTCTCGTAAGCACGCACGGCCACGACCGAGGCTCTCGCTGAGCTTGCCCGACACCCCCGCCATGGCCGAATTCACGCTCGCGACGTTGACGTAGGAGCAATTTGACCGTCTGGTGCGCCAAGTTGAAGAATCGGCGCTCGAAATTGCGACGCTCACGGCGGAACGTGACTCCGCGCGTCAGCAATCCACGGTGAATACTCCAGCGCCACCACACGCGCCGACAAATGCATCTGCACAATCGGACGAGCCGATCGTCATTTCGTCCGGCACACCAACACAACACGACAGCGTGGGACAGCGCTCAGGTGCAGCCAGTGATGGCGCCGCCCAACCGATGCCTGGCATGGGGGGAAACAGGGTCGCACCAAGCCCGCGGGAGCCTCGTGAAGCCTGTCAGAACATATATATAGCTTATGCTGTTGTGTAGGCTATAGTGGGGTATCCCATAGGGGGTACAACCCAATTAGGGTTTCCCATATGTACTCACTTCATTCATAGTTCATTCATCCTCGTTCTACTTTTCTCATGGTATCGAGCAGGTTCCCTCGTGGGAACTGTTCCTAGGGCCCACCGTTTTTTTTTCCTGCCCGGAGCGCACTCTGCCCCTACCCGAGTCGCGCTCCCCTCTCTCTTGGCCCCTAGTGGCCCCTTTAGCCGCCCGTCACGGCCCTTAGACGCCCGCGCGCCGCCCGTCCCGGCCCCTTAGACGCCCGCGCGCCGCCCGTCCCGGCCCCTAGACGCCAGTGCGCCACCCGGCCCGGCCCCTAGACGCCCGCGCGCCGCCCGTCCCGGCCCCTAGACGCCCGCGCGCCGCCCGTCCCGGCCCCTAGACGCCCGCGCGCCGCCCGTCCCGGCCCCTCGACGCCCGCGCGCCGCCCGTCCCGGCCCCTCGACGCCCGCGCGCCGCCCGTCCCGGCCCCTCGCCGCCCGTGAGCCGCCCGTCCCGGCCCCTAGACGCCCGCGCGCCGCCCGTCCCGGCCCCTAGACGCCCGCGCGCCGCCCGTCCCGGCCCCTCGACGCCCACGCGCCGCCCGTCCCGGCCCCTAGACGCCCGCGCGCCACCCGGCCCGACCCCTAGACGCCCGCGCGCCGCCCGTCCCGGCCCCTCGACGCCCGCGCGCCGCCCGTCCCGGCCCCTCGACGCCCGCGCGCCGCCCGTCCCGGCCCCACGCCGCCCTACCTGCGGCCTACTCGCCGCCCTACCTGCGGCTCGCCCGCCGCCCTAACTGCGGCCCGCCCGCCGCCCTACTTGCGGCCCTACCGCCGCCCTGCCTGCGGCCCGCCCGCCACCCTACCTGCGGCCAGCCCGCTGCCCTACCTACGGCCCGACCGCCGCCCTACCTGCGGCCCAACCGCCGCCCTACCTGCGGGAGCCGCCTAGCAGCAGAACCGCCGGGAGCCGAGCCGCCCTGCCGCCGAGCCGCCCGGGAGCCGAGCCGCCCTGCCGCCGAGCCGCCCGGGAGCCGAGCCGCCCTGCCGCCGAGCCGCCCGGGAGCCGAGCCGCCCTGCCGCCGAGCCGCCCGGGCGCCGAGCCGCACTGCCGCCGAGCCGCTGAGCAGCCGAGCCGCCCTACTGCCGGGCCGCCCGACCTGCCCTGTCCGGTGAGCACAGCCCCACTGTCACTGCGTGCCCTTCCCCTACTGCTTGCACTGCTCGTCTGTCGTCGTCATGGCTACCCCTAGTGTCCTCGCTTTTGACGCTGAGGGTCGAGCCATTGACTTTGAGGTCTGGGTCGACGACCTGCAGCTGTTCTTACAGTGCGATAGGGCGGACGGTCTTTCCCTCTTTGACCTCACCTCTGGCGCCTCTCCTGCCCCTGCTACTGATGCTGACCCCACTGTTCGCTCTCAGTGGGCCACCCGCGATGCTGCTGCACGTCTTGCTGTGCGTCGCCACCTGCCTACCACTGAGCGCGCGCACTTTAGTCAGTACAAGAGTGCTCAGACCTTGTACGACGCTGTAGTTGCGCGCTACTCTTCCCCT